CTCTCAGCTCGAAGAACTTCCTTTAAAAGTTTTTATAGACAGGCCTGGTGGTGGTAAACTTAGATTCTGCTTATCTGGGAAAGTCTTTATCTTTCCTTCCTCTAATGAACAGCTTTGCCTGGTAAAGTATTCTTAATTGGAGGGTATTTTTTTTTTCCCTTCAATACTTTGAATACATCTCCCATTCTGTCCTGTAAGATTCTGCTGAGAAATCCTGTGTTAGCCTTACTGATACTTCCTCATAGGTGATCTACCTCTTTTCTCTTGCTTTCAGGATCTTCTTTTTATCTTTGATTTTTGACAATTTGTGTCTTGGTGAGTCTTGTTCAAATTGGATCTTACTGGAGCCTGACTTTCCTTGACCTGGATATTTATAGTATTTACAGATTGGAAGATTTTTTGCTATTATTTAAGCTTCATGTTCCTTTGTATTTCTCTTTTCCTTATTGAGCCTGAGCCCATGGAGGCAAACCTAGGTCCTGGGACTATGGGGTCTGGCTTAGAACCTTGGTCCACAGGGGGCCAACCTGGCACCAGCATTGGCTGGGGCAGTCCTGGGCTCTGGGTCCATGGGAACCAGCCTGGAGGTTAGTTATATGAGGATGGCCTGAAATCTGGGCTCAAAGGAGCAGTCCTGGAGCCCAGCTCTATCATGGCAGGCCCAGGGCTGGTTCCAGGGTATACTGTAACAGGCCTAAACCCTGGATCTGCTGGAACATAGCACAGTAGGTGCTAGCCTAGTGCCTGAGGCCAGGTGGTGTCAACCTGATGCCAGGGTAGGTCTGGGAAGGTGTGGAACAACCTGACACAGGTCTGGAATGTGGGACAAGCCAGGAGTCTGGGGCTATGAGGACTGGACTGGCCTGGTGTTGGGGTGGGCCTGAAACCTGGAGCTATGAGTGCCATCCCAGAGCTGGGGCCAGTCCAGATGCTGAGCCTGCTGGGGCAGGCCTTTATGTTTAGTTCAAAGGTACTGGCCTGGAATCTTATGCAGTTCCATACTCATTTGAATGGATCAAAAACTAACATTTGATTATTACAAAAAAATAGTTTATTTTTTAGGCAGGGCCTAATCACCCAGGCTAGACAGAGTGCTATCGTGTCCCCTGAGTCTGCTTGCTAGGGAATTAAGTACAGTCTGTATGTTAGCTTTCTCTTATTCCTAATCAGGGAATAAGGCCATAAAATTTTATGCTTCATTCTGGATTTAATCTATAAAAGTTGCATTTTCCTCTCATTACCTATCGAGAAAAATATGCACAGATGTTCGTAAGGGGGATAAATAAGGATGATCGTTGTAGAACTGTTTATTATAAGATTTAAAATATAGAAATAACTTAAGGCCCATCCATAAGAGAACTGCTAAACAAAATGTAGCCTATGCTATGTAATACTATGTGCAATTAAAAATATGAAAAGGGAAAGATCTCCAACATCCTAAGCAGAGGGAAAAAAGACACAAAGTTTAGCACTATCACTATAACATGATACCATTACTGGTGTGCTGCCATTTAATGGGCACAATGTTAGGGTATCTGGCACACCTTCTGGGTGCAGGACATAACTACAACAGGGATTTTTACCTAACAAACGCAAAGACTATAACCTAGTTGTTTGTAGTCTCATTAATCTAAAATTATATCATTCACACAACAAATGCCCCCATGACTGTATTATAAAGGGTCTATGTATAGTGAGTAAGGGCCTGGTCAGATCTTTACTGTTAGTGCAGGTGTCTCTGGGGAGGGGCCTGGAACTCAGTGTAAAGGAAGCTGTGGATTTAAGAGGCACACTCTAAAGGGGTTATCAGCTCCTGGGCTGCGTTTCTCTGGCATTCACCTTGGTGCCTTGCCGTTCCTCCCGTACATGTTCAGCCCAAACGTGGGGCCTTAGAGTGCCCAGGGCAGTAGCATGAGATGGCACTGGGCTCCCGGGGAAATGAGCTGTGACTAAATCCTCACTCTGCAGGGATCACAGACACTTTGCTGTTGCCATTTTAGGTAAGAAAAACTACGCTCAGAAGAAGAGGGGGGTTGACCACAGATGAATGGTGACTTAAAGCCTGGCCATGAGCAGAATCTAGGCTTCCCAGCCA